GCGAAGTGGTGCTGGCTCCTACTCTGGGGGTCTTTAGGAGGAGGCTAGATGAGCACCTTGCTGGGGTTGTTTGACCCCAGTACTTTTTTCTGCCATGGCAGGGGGTCGGGCTTGATGATCTGCTCTGGTCCCTTCTGACCCTACCAACTGTGAAACTATGTAATTCCACCATCCATGGCCCTGTTTGGGGATATAGGTATAAAAAGCAGGTATCCATCAGAGATGAAGATGGCCCCTTTTTCAGTACCTTCTAATCAGGCCACTGATGCCAGTGATGTCAGGAGTAGGTTGTGTAAGTGAGACTGATAAGGGTGCATATGTGTCTGGATTTTACAGACCGCTCATCCACAGTGCGCGCATGTGTGCTATTGCTTGCCAGGCATTACCCGCTTTCCTGTTGTTGATTAGGTTAGAGTCCTTCACTGATGCATGTACTTATCCGTACGTGATTTCTGGCCCTGACCAAAACGGTTAGTCAGGTAAAAACTGGTCTTATGCACACTTGCAGTAGGATCGATGCTGACATCTTGCACTAAAGTTTTTGCAGCATGAGTGACAGGTGTTTATCTTTTAACCAAGCAACATTTGTGATGCCCCAGCCTCAACCTGAGTGCCCTACTCAGTGCTGTGCTGTGCTGCTGCACTGCCCCTTGAGGCAGATGTGGAATGTGGAAGCTGAAGGAGACTGGGGAGCCGGAGCAGTAGAGGGAGTCGATCAGGGCTCTGGGGGCTGAAATACAATTCCTTGTGGGCCACCACTTGGGCAGCCCTAGTCTAAGAGGTGATGGTGCCTAAAAAGGAAAAATGGAAACTAGAAGGAAGTTGTCATGGTGAGCAATAACATGAAGATGAGGGCACCAGGGATTTTGATAGGGGAGGAAGCAACTGGAATGGTGCACAAAAATAACCAAAGGCTGCTGTGGCAGGACAACTTGGAATAGTGCCTGAGTTGGCTTGATGGATCAGAAGGGAGTATTGGAATTAAATATCAGATTTGTGATGTTTGCTAGCATTTACTGCTACAGAACAGACCAGTCAATACTTGTTAAATGAAATTGTCTGCACAGTTTATGCATAGCACAAAATAGTATGAATACATTTAACAAAATATTGAAACAATGGAAGATCCAAATCAGGAGTAAATCAGTTGGTGGCATATTCAAAGGAAGTAATGTAACTTGTAACTGCCAGAAATGTAGGCTATGATGTAATACAGGGTTCTAGCATTACAATTGGAGAGGCATTGTATATCTTATTATAAACCAATACTTTGGTCATACGGTTTGAAATTGGTGTCCAGAATACAATGGATTGTGGCATTTATACCTAGCATTTGGATGTTATTCAGAATAACTAAGATATTTTGCTTATGCTTCTTAAAATTAAATTAGTTGTACTGTTTGAAAGTTTTGAGAAATTCACTTATCTGAAAGACCATTGCGCTAAAATGCTGTTGCCCTTTTTTCCTTCCTTTTTAGTGTGTCTGACCTTAAACATGCAATCCAAACAAAATATAAGATTGCTATTCAGCACCAGGTACTGGTTGTCAATGGAGGGGAATGTATGGCACCAGACAGAAGAGTCTGTAGTTACAGTGCTGGAACAGTAAGTTCATTTACCCTTAGTCTTGCCTTCACAGTTCATTCTGTAAAGATAAGAACTTTTCAGATACTTAATGTTTCTTTCCCCTTTTTATGAAGAGACTTGTGTATTGTATTTTCTTTTCTGGGTTTCTTATGTTGCTAGACTTATGCCTTTTCATACAGTACTCATGTCTGCAGTTTTCTGTGCGCTACTTCATAAGTTGCATCATTGTTAAATTTTTGGAATAGGTAGGGGCTATATAACATGTTGTATTTACTCACAGTCTTGTGTTGGGATTTTATATTTTAAAACAGGACACGAATCCAATTTTTCTATTCAACAAAGAGATGATCTTATGTGAACGTCCACCTGCTATTCCCAAAACTACGTTTTCAGCAGAGAATGAAATGGAATTAAAGGTTGAAGAATCTCTTATGATGCCTGCAGTTTTTCACACAGTAGCATCACGGACACAGCTTGCTGTGGTAAGTAACATTTGAACCATTTAGAATTTAGTGGCTTTTTAAACCTAACTTGAACAAAATAACTCCACATACCACTTCCATAAGATCTACGGTCTGTCTAATATAAGTAATGATTCAAAAAGCTGAAAATAATTTTAATCAGTATTGGTATTTTTCTAGTTTCTTTTCTGTTTTGGGATGTGTGGAAATGTTTAATAGTTGTTAGGGTCGGAAGGGACCTCAATAGATCGAGTACCAACCCCCTGCCCTGGGCAGGAAAGAGTGCTGATCATATGATCTCAGCCAGGTGTTTGTCCAGTCTCCTCTTAAAGACCCCCGAGGTAGGGGAAAGCACCACCTCCCTTGGAAGCCCATTCCAGATTCTGGCAACCCTTACCCTAAAGAAGTTCTTCCTGATGTCAAACTTAAATCTGCCCTCTGTCAGTTTGTGGCCATTGTTCCTGGTTATTCCAAGGGCTGTCCTGGTAAACAGAGCATCTCCTATTTTTTGCTGCCTCTCTCCCCTGATGAATTTGTAAACAGCCACAAGATGCCTTCTCAGCGTTTTTGTGGAGGTTGAAGAGATCCAGGTCCCTCAGTCTCTCCTTTTAGGCCCTTACCTGCAGGCCCCTAACTGTAAGTGGCCCTCCTCTAGACCCTCTCAAGATTATCCACATCCCTCTTGAAGTGCAGTGCCCACAACTGGACACAGTACTCCAACTGCAGCCTGACTAATACCACATAGAGGGGAAGTATCACCTTCCTGAACCTGTTTGTGATGCGTGATATAGTGTGGTTATGCACCTCTTAATGCGTGATACAGTGTGGTTAGCTTCACTGATTACTTCCTCACATTGACGGCTCATATTCATCTTGGAGTTAACTATGACTCGGGGATGTGGTTACGCTAGAAGGGAGGAATAGGCTGCAATCAAACCTAGACAGGTTACAGGGGTGGGCGGATGAGAATAGGATGGGATTCAACACTGACAAGTGCAAGGTGTTGCACCTGGGGAGGAACAACCAACACCATACCTACAAGCTGGGGAACTCCCTGCTTGTCAGTACAGAAGCAGAAAAGGATCTTGCAGTCATCATTGACGCAAAGATGAACATGAGCTGGCAGTGTGGGGATGCAGTTAGGAAGGCAAATCACACCTTGTCATTCATCTACACATGCATCAAGCAGA